ACCTTCATGTCATCATCATAAAAGGTTGTTATAAATAGATGTTATCACAAACAACTAGACAATGATGGTTTTAATCAAATATAATAAAGCTTGTCTTTTAAAGAAAAAAAGCAGCTTGAACAGACTTCATATTGAATTTAAATTCACAGAAGTAAATGCATTTGGAGTTAAGGATAACTGCAACCTTATGCAGAGTTGCAACATTCATGGCTCTGCAAGATCACCTGCTGTTCCAAGATCCCAACAATATCTGAACATATTAGGATAAAGTTCTTGCAGAACAGCCACATAGGTCCATTAGCCTCTGTTCCCCTCAGTATATGAATATGAAACCCTATTTAGTTGCCATGAATTATGCCTAGGTACAAATAGCTGACCTATTTGAAAGACTAGATCCTAAGCTGGAGGTCCTTATTTTAAATCAGAAAGTCCTTCTTGGATTTTCATTTATAAATGTACAAATAACAACCAATATAATCAGTTAATGGTTTTTATGCAAGAAATTCAATGATATAATCCTGGAACAATCCTTGAAAAATACTCCATTCTGTCTACAAAATAAGTAAAATGGATTCATTATGAGCCAGATTTGTTTAAAAATTTGTATCCAATTCTTATGTTGAGACTTTCTATGAATAGATATAAAACCTGATTGGGGAAGCGATTATTTTGTTAAAACTAAACATAGCCAGACATCCCTACCCATCCTGATTGACATCCAAATATATTTTATTGTTGGGCATTTCCAAAAAGGACATTTATTTCAAGTAACAAATTCCTCTAAGAAGGATTAAGATACTATGGAAATTAAGCTTACTGAAGAAGACAACTGAAAATAAATGCTCCAAATACTGCAAAATGTTATGCCATCCCCCAATATTCTAAGCTCAATGTACAGGGTAAATAAAAAGATCCTGAGCTGAGCAGATAAAGGGAGAAGGGTTGGGGGGGGAGAGAGAAAGAATGTCTAAAATCAGTCAGTCCTTTAGAAAAAAAAAAAAATCCCTTTTCAGCATCTAATACACAACACACTATGACAGCCAAAATTGCCATTCTGTACCAATATTAGTGTTATGTGGTATCCTATTTCCAAAATATAAGCCAATACCAAATACTCTAAAACACTGGTGCTCAACCTCCGGCCAGCAGACCTATGTCACTTGGCCTATCTAGCACCTCATGAGTATAGAAATTTAGCAACAGGAGAGCAGTAGTAGCCTTAATTGCTCCCAGAGCTATGACAATTAGCACTGCCACCACTCCCCTGCCACCAAATCTCCAGATCTGTGGGGAGTCCTGCAGTGCAGATAATATGGTCCAGCACACCAGATTACAATGGTGTGCAGTCACCCTGTGGGTGGATCCTGTACCTGGGTCAGGCCAGCACCAGGTCCTATCCATGAACCAACCCCATAGGCTGAACCCATGCTAGATCCAGCCCCTAGACCAGCCCTACGCTACTCATCCAGCCAATGGGGCTGGAAAGGCGAGCACCACGGCTCTAAAGCAACATACAAAACGTTCCAAATGAACAACTACAAATCATCTGCTCATTGTTGAATTTTCACCTAGCCACCTCATTAGAGGTTAGCTATGCCCAAACTGTTAGACTTTTTTCAAACCAAAGCAACCCATCCGATGTAGCTATGGATATTACCATTATACATTTAAATACATCATCTTTTTTATGTTGCTAATGTCTTGGCATCAGGAATATCGTGAAGCAATGAGTTCCACATATTAATTATGCTATGTTTATTTTAACTGATTTTAAAATATGCAGAATTTCTATTTCATTGAGCATACTCAGGTTCTTGCATTATGAGAAAAAGGACTTATTTTTCCCAAATGACTTTCTTTATACAATTCATAATTTTCATTGCTCAAATCTAACAAATTCATTCTTTATTGGTCATCACTGTACTAATCAATCTCAGTCTTTCTAGGCTCACTTTATATGATCTTCCATACCTCATGATCATTTTCATTGTACAGCTATTATTTTTCTTTTTGGGACAGGATTTTAAAATAATATTTCCATTCCACTTCTCATGCATTCCAATGTGTTTGTTTTTTCAGCTGCCACTAAAAACTGAGAAAGTTTTCACTGAGCTGTCCACAATGATACCTAGATCTTTTTCCTGAGCTGTTACAACTGAGCAAAGCAAAACATATGGATAGTTTAAACTATTCCTTCCACCGTGCAATATTTTGCAGTTGTCAGTCCTGACTTTATTCTGCCATCCTACTTTGTTTCTCTAACTGCATTCCCCACTGACCCACCAGTCTTGATAAATCTAAATAACCGTCATCTGCAAGTTTTGCTATCTCACTGCAAAACCCTAGTATTACAAAATTATGAGGTTATTTCCCTTTAAGGTGAAATAAGTTCTCAACAGGAAATTCTCTTTCCCAAACATTAGCCCTACTGAGTCTTATATGCACCAGATACTGGCATAATGACTCTTCATTTAAAAAAAGAATACAAAAGTGAGAAGTATCTTATCTCCTCTATTGCTGCTAGCCATGTAAAAGTAACTTTGCTACTAGATCATTTCCAACTCTGTAATTTATGCAAAATATGCAGAAATACCCAATCAAGTCTTAGGCATATGTGGTAATCTGAAGCATATAAAAACACAACTGGGGGGGAGGGGGGAGAAGGTTAACTGCACACACACGCACATGCGCGCGAAACTTACTGGTCAAATCAAGCCCACTCGATTTATTTACATGCCTAAAATGTACTTAAATTCAACAGAATACAAGTGTGCATTTAAAAAAATCTCTCATATTTATGACTACAAAACTAACCTTTCAGATAGAGTGTGAACTGACGCAGAATTGCCTCCCCAGTTTTTGAGAACGTTAGATAATAGTTAGTTTCAGAAAACAGCTAGTGCAATTGTAGAGAGCATGATCACCCTGTCTGCATAAATCTAATTAGTGTTGCATGAATAAGAAAAGGAGGTGTTTTTCCCCAAAAAACATGTTAGCTATTTCAAATACCACTTTATATTTGGTGGAAAGTGTTTGACACCTTAAACTAGATGCTAGATGGTGAGTGATCATAGGCTTCACAGTACTCCCCTCCCCTCCCCCCTTATCCTGGGATGGCCACAGCTTGCCACCAGTACACAAACTGAAGTTTAACCATGTCAAGACATGCGCTAACTTGATTTAAAACCACCAAAAAACTCTATTGCATGACCTATTTCTCCTGCCTAGACAAAGGCATAAGGAAGCAGGAAAGAAATGGACAGGACCATAGGGAAGTATAGAAAATAAGAGTGTTCTTCCATTAAGAAAAACCTAATGAGAACTATTACACGAGTGTAGCCAACTACAGAAATCCCATATTCTAAGGGTATTTATACCCAAAAGCTTACAAAGAAGAATTTTTTCAACTGTTTGGGTTGGTCTAATAAAAGATAATCCAATTTACCCAAAGAACCTTGCCCACCTATATTCAACCCTTGGTCTCTGTGCACCATCCACTGACGTCCCATGGCTCTGTGTGTTGTGAATGGAAAGCGTTTATGAGATAAGTTTACCCTTAACCCAGAGTTCCAGCCCAAATGGAACCTGCTGCTTTACAAAGAGTAAGTGACATCCCCACAATATCTTTTAGGGCACCCAGGACAGGCTCAATCTTAGATCCAGTAAGCATCTTCCCAAAAAATTTACAACTTGATTTTCAGCCCCTACCAGCACACATTTAGTAAGAACCATCTAATGGCAGTGAGACAAATGTAATTACACAAGCAGCTTTCAAAGTATCAGACACAGGAAATTTTTAAATTTCTGCGGAGATATGAACTCTGTTTCCGATGCTTTACGTCCTCATAACCTGCCTAGAAACCTGGCACAACAAAACTTTTTAGGAAACTTTATTTTGCATTTTCATTCCCCCTTGGTCCATTATTTTGCTCAGACAGCAGCCACATGACTGCCCTTTGCTGTTACCTAATCTGAGTTTATTTGGTGATGTCTATTTGAGTAAGAAAAACAAGTCTAAGCATGAGGAAATTTAGGCGTGCTCTGGTTTCACAGGCTGCAAAGGATCCCAGAAGGAATCTGGTTAGGCTGTGCTTCTTTAAAAAAAATTAAAAATAAATAAATAAATAAATAAACAAACAAACAAACGAGACAAGGATTTGAGCTTTGGGAATATTTTGTGGGAGGGCAGAGGGGGTCATGAAATGTCTGGAAAGGTACAAGGGAGACACTTGGTCAGCTTGGGAGCAACCCCGGGAACACTTTGGACCTGTTCTGCTCACAAGGAATGAAAACCAGTGGGAGGGGTTTTTTGTTTGTTTTTCCCCCTTTCTCTTTTCTATTCTTGCTGCAGTAGCCCACAGGCCCCGTGTGTCACGCCGCGGGGGTGTGAGGGAGCCGAGCCGGTGCGAGCGGGACCCGCGCAGACCCGGCAGGAAGGGCCCGAGGGGTTGCCGAGGCGGGGGAAGTGCGGATCCCGCTCGACGACCCCTGAGGCGGGGCAGGGGCAGGCGAGCGTTGGCCGCTGCCGGACGGGGCGCGGGGCTGGGCGGAGCCGGGCCCGCGGGGAGGACGACACCAAGGGACAGCGCGTCCCGCCGGGGCCGAGTGTGAGCCGGCTCCGCGCCCCCAACAATAGCGCGGGCAGCACATGTCAGCCCGCACGCGGCCGCCACCTCTGCCCGGCCCGGCGACTGTTTGCGCCCCACTGGGAGCGGCCCAGCTGCGCGCCCCGGGCCTGGCCTAGCAGCGGCGGCTGACACGCGGCTCCGGGGGGGCAGATCCCGCCCGCGCCCGAGCTAAACTTTCACTTCCCCCTGCCGGGCCCCGCCCGCGCCATCGCCCCAGCGCTGGGGGCGCGGGTGCCTCCTGCCGGGCCGGGGAATCCCCTCTGTCCAGTCCCGTCCCCTCCCCTCCCCCCGCCAGGTGTCAGCCGTTCGGGCGGCTCAACCGCCGGGGGCCGGGGGCGGGGGCCCGGGGACACGCGGCCGCGCTGCCCTTACTCGTAGTCCCTGAAGATCTCGTTGGTGACCCTGCAGTGGAAGACGCGCTCGTCCGGCCGCAGGTCGGCGGGGGGCTGCTCCCTCACGAAG